TTACCAGGACTTTCTTCAGTAGGTTTGTGGTATTTCTCAAGGAATTCCTGTTCATCTGTGCGACTGCTGACTTCATAAGGCTTCAACTGAGTGTACTCCAGAGTGACTTCCAACTTGGATCCTTTTATTCCTTCCTTACTCAAAGTTGTGTCACTGTAAAGGGAAATTTGCAGAATTTTAAAGATGCCGATAAGATGCATTATCTATCGATCTGTTTCCGTGTTGCCCTGTTTTTTCATCGTTTTGGATTCTCACGTCAGCCAGTCCCTCATTCTATTTTAGGTAATGACCTGTTTGACAACTTTTCTTAAATACACAGGTCTTAAATTTTACACAAAGAGATCAAATTCGTGAGGGTATGTTTAAAGAGGAAGGCCTTTTTTGTTTTTAACTTTATGAATAGCAGCCATTAAAAGCTTTGTGTTTTTTGTTTAAAATAGTGGATATTCAGTTAAAGCTCATTTTAATACTAATTTTTTAAGAAAAACACTTACACTTTCTTCTTCTTTTCCAGTCCGAGGCTGCCTAGGTACATCTTGTATTTTGCAATCGAATATTTAGTTCCAAAAGTCCTCTTGCCGCGTACTTCAATATTAAGCTGTTGTTAACAGAAAACGAGGAACAATAGTAAAAGTCTTATATCCATAGGAAAACGATTTGACGTCTATTTAAAGGAATTTATTGTTTAAAGTAGAGTGCTTTACGAGGATCATGCATCGGCGGCTACTCACGGAAAAAGTTATTGAAACCCCTGGTGCTGACGTTTGAGCGTGAGCAAAAAACAAAAACTTGGCCATCCTTCAGAGATGAAAGTCTGAGAAGGTAAGACTTTAATCGAACTTAACTTCAGAAGATCTGACAAAAACCAATACTCTTGATATTTTTCTTCCAGGTAAAGGAAAAAAATCACGTTTTGAAGCTCAACATTCCAAAAGCCAGTTTGTAGACGGGAATGAACTGTCTGCAGTTTATCAAATACCTTATCATTCGCAAGGTCATAGATAAGTAGGGATATTGACTCCTCGAATGTGGTTCCACCCTGAATCTTCTCAGTATTTTTCTCATCAAGGTTACCAACTTGAAGTGACGTCCAAATCTGATCGTCTGGAAAAATAATCAAGTTTTAGAGCAAAAGAGAAAAGAAAGGAAGAAAATGAAAGTGCTGGGGAAACCGAAGGGTGACAAATACAATTAAGACAAAACAAAACAAAAAAAACCAGGACTTTTTATCGTTATTCATGGTTATCTTATCCCATGAAAAGAAATAGAAACTTTGTAACTAGTGACTAGCAATGTGGATCGCAAATTTTCAGCCGTAAATGTGTTAAAACTGCTGTTTGTCTTCTTCAAGTGACGAGACGGACTGTTTACGTTTAAGTTTAGAAACTTTGCTGTATTATTGTTTGCTTGAGGTTCACATGATTATTTCTGATTTTTATTTCCTTCCACTTGTTCCGTGTCTTCCGCGCGTTCCAAAAAGGAAAACTAAAACTATGACAGTGTTTTCTCTGCAAGTTTTTAAATCCATTTTTTTGTGTAATTGCATTTAAAATTAATTTGATCGATTGAATTCATTTCCATCGTCATGTTTTAGAAAGGGTCCATATTGGTAAATGGCTCCAAACTTCATTTTGTCACACTGTAACAAAAATAAATTAAGAGCTTCCATGATATTATTTACCTGTATATTTTTGAGGCATTCCACCCTTCAATGTGACTGTTAATAGTCCATCAGCTGAAAGATTATCACAAAAACAGCACTAATTTCCAACAGAAAATGGTGCTAAAACAAAGTGGCCTAATTGGTAACCAACTAACTACTGAACCGGTTTCTTCAAGTACAACAAACCGTTATTTCATGGGGAAAAAAGTCAGTTTGAAAATTACTTTACAGTTTTGTTTTTGTAATGTGTCCATTTCCGATGTTTGCAAAATTTGAATCATATGCATATCATAAATTGAAGTATTTCAAGTCACACCATGGTGGACCGTCTGCGGCGTTGCTTTCGCAAAATCAAAACTTTCGCTGGCAGCCATCTTATTGACTGCCGCGGGACCTCACCGTAAGTTGACTTCTTGGCTGCGCTGAGGAGTTCATCGGGATCAACACCATGAAGAGGAACTTCGATTCTTCCAGGATCAACCAGTGCTACAGAAAAGTAAAAATGCCCGAGGAATTAAAAAAGGCTCGTTTGCATCTAAACCTTTTCAGCCACTTTCAAATGCAGTAATTAACTTAGAGATAAATCCATTCCGTGGAAAATATTTAAATTATGCTTGAATGTTATCCCTCCATGCAAAGAAAGATGATTTTTTCACGAGCTTAGAACAAACAAAAAAAATCTGAATGCCAAGAGAGGATTCAAAGTTCAGACCTTCTCGACTTTTTTTCTCGATAGACTAGCTTATTCAAATAGTGAGACCGCGATAATTGAATATTACCGTAAGTCAAACTGTCCATAACGAGGGCATTGATGAAATCTTTCAGCATGGGGATATCCATCACTTGTACTGCGCGCATCAATCGAACATCAAAGTCAACATCTGGTCTATGAAAAAAATTGAAACGCTTTTCAATACAAGTAAACCTTTTAGTGTAAAAACGAATAGCTTCACGTAACCAGTTCATACATTTGAACTTCAATCCATCTTTGTCGTTAAAGAATGACAATTTCCAGAAACCATGTCTTTTTTTTATTCAACTTTTGAAGAGCATTTATGAGATAATGGCGGACAATGATCTTATTTTGAGAGTGCAAAGAGTTAACAATAGCTACCTTTTGGAAAGCTGTCTTCAAACGTGCAAAGAATTCGACTGTGGAGGCCGCCATTTTGGATCTAGTCACGCAGCCTGGCCGTCTACTTTTGATAATTTTATTAGCAATAATCAGGCATCAGGCGATTACCGAATTGTTTTCCACAATGGTGGCTTCCACTGTCGAATTGTTAGCACATCGGAGATAATTTCTTAGATGTTGGGTACACAAATCGCAAAAAGAAGTACGTTTAGCTTTTAGTGAGGAAGACGAAAATCAAATGGTTTGTCGGCTTGTGCATGTACTTCTCCAATATAACGTAATATATTGCTCCTGTCATCAGGAGCAATCTACTCGTTCGGTCTGGCAGATTCTTGTGCAGAAGACAAAGGCAAACAGATGAAGATCAGGAAATTAAATGTGCGAGACCGTATAGCAACCATAACACTTGTAAAAAGTTCACATCAAGCAGTTTAGATCAATTGGATACGGCCGTGAAGACTTTTCTTCTTACTTTTCAAGGAAAGTCACCGAGACAGCTTTCATGTGTGGAAATGGTACAAGGTGATCCATCTCAAACACAATCTGAACACGACCAGACAACGACAAGTCCTCGATACTGACATCAACATCTGCACCAACCCTGGGACAAAAAAAAAAACATATATAGGGAAAAAATTTTATTGGAATGGAATTCATCTGGGAAATTCTTTACCACTGTCATTTGCTGGGGTCTTAAATTGGTTAATAAGCGCATAACAATGTTTGCAAGGTCTATTTACTGTTGTTGACTGTAGAGCCATCATTTCAATGAATGGACTTCTATCGTTTCAAATGTAGCCTACATCACTTGGGCGAATGTCCCAGATTATTTTCTGGTACTGCTGTAGGAGTAGGAATATTCAAGATACGGACCCTCGTCCTCTCGTTATTTCGACCATAAAACAGCGTATCTTTAACTAAATGCAATTTCTCCTACGACTCAGTATTACTTGGCTCACACATTTCAGCTTGGGACCCACCATCCTATAGGCTGTGATATTCTGATAAGTTTTTCTTTCTGAACAAAGTCTGTGTTGTCAGTTTAGGATCCCTGAAGACGATTACCGCGAAGGTTCCCCCCTCGACCCCAACAAAAAATAAAAATTCCAATCTGACTAGGGGACAGCGGATGAAGATTTTTTGTGATTAGCTAGAGTCCATTTTGATTTCATTCTGGCGGGTTATACTCACATTTTTCCACCCAATCTCACTTTTATAGCGATTTTTGTGTCAGGTGCGTGTAAGCACAGATCCATAACAAGAACTAATAGATGTCTCTGCCTTGTTGCCAGGTCTTTCGGTGGGTTGAACGCTGTTGATTCTGAGGCAGGGATATCCGGAGAGTCGTTCTCGTCAATATTCTCAAACACTTTTACATATTTCAGACACGGCGTCTTCTTTCCAAAACTGAACTCTGTTAGTTCCATAGTCTCTGAAATGAGAAGGAACATTAAAATTGAACAAGGATGAAAAAAGTCAAGACACAGTTGTTGCAGGAAAACATTTACTCGAATAAGTCCTCTCCGTTCGTGCTTGAAACCACAGGACTCTGGAAATTCTAATGGTGAAATAAGCGAATTCTCAACTGCTAAAACAAGGATCAGGGAAACCTCACCCCATACAATAACAACGCAGACTATCATCTGCAATGCCAAGAAAGGTATATTTAGATTTCAAAACTCTCCTGAATGAAACCCACCACTTTCCCCCAAATCTGTTAAATACTTTGCTTCTACGCAGATTCTACTCGATCGTTCAATCTCATATAGCGCGTAGAATCATTTCCTTTCGTTGGATCTCGCCTCTACTCAAGTCCGATCACATACTTTACCATTCTGAGATAATTAAATAGAAAAAAAATGACCCTTGTTACCTTTTTGCCCACTGAAAACTATACTTAGGATATTTGCCGAAGCCTTGTAACTACGAGATATTGGCCTATGTGTAACTTCTATCACCCTCATCGAATTGAAATTAAGTCAAAACTTGTTGATAGATACCTGATTGTACTTGTGCCTCACCTATAAACGATGGTTTGCTATACTCCAAAACAGGATTCAAACTGGAGCGTACAAGGTTGCAAAGGGAGACTTCACTAAAATTCCACCTTGAAACAACACGAGAACATTTAATCTGGATAAGTGCTTCATATGCATGATCTAAGATGACCTATTTGCGAACAAAGCTTTAAATTCACTGTTCGGAACTTTTTACAAGAATCTTCAGGCAATCAGTATGTGAAAGATTTCTTTCTTTAATTGAGATATTACATTCAGTTCTTTTCTAATTTGTTCTTATTGGCTAAAAACGTCTGCAACTGTTTTCTTTAAGTCCGACTCTCTTTTAACCTTCTGTTGATTTTTTACCAACTTCCGCCAGTCTCTCAAGAATAATAGTGTGTAGAGTGTGGTGGCAAACCTTTTCAACAATTGTTTACCCACGAGAAGGTCGCATCAGCTTGTTGAATCAGTCTCTATTTTTTTTTCCAGTGATTCGCATTCAATGTTTAAAAATTACTTAAGATTTTGTAGATAAAAACTATCAATCGGAATATTATGCTTGAGCATTGTAACTTCATTATTTTCATTATTGACTAATGAAATTCCATCGTGAGTAAGAACCTGTTTACATCAGCCTAACTTGGCAAAAAGTCATTTGGTTTATTAATAATGCAGATGTATTACCTTTCGAATATTCTGCGTTGCGTATTTGAAAGCTTTAGTGTTGAAACGCAAAAACGCTTTAACTATATCTAACCTTGTACAAAAAGATATTAACTTTTGATTTTATCATTGTGCAGTGGAATAAAAACAAAAAATAATTCTGAAGTTTGGGTGGTTTAGTAGCAAATGGCCAATTCTTTGTTCTAAAAAAAGCTATGTAAGCAAAACAATCGAGTTTTACTTTTGTAAGCATTGAATTTGCTTTGCTAGGATATGCGAGTGGTTTAAAGAGTAGATAAATAATTTACTTTTGAAAGTTGCCGGTTAACGGTTTTCCGGAAATCGAGCGATTTCTCTTTGAAAGATATCTGTTTGACCCACCCAAATAACAAAGCGGCCTCCAAAATGCTGCGACGTAAACATTGTCATGCGGTAGCTGATTTAAATCCCTTCTCTATTATTTTTGTCTGCAAACCTCAGTCTTTAAACTTCGGAAAACTTAATTAGCAAACGTAATATCATACCATATCATCAGCTACAAAAACCTGCTAACAATCGTTTCATAGTTACCATCGGTTCAAAACAAAGTTTAGCCATTCGGCTGTCTCCTCGTCCCGTAAGGCCTTTCTTCGGTGTACTTTTATTTCTGCTTCTCTGACACGATCGTCTATAATGCGGCAATTTTTGCGATACCATACTGTAAATATCAATGGTATTATAAACCCTGCCCATACGAAGGAAAATCCATAAGCTCCCAGGAACCATGTAATTGCAACAACGGCACAGACGAACAGCGACAAACGCAATTGCGTTTCATCTCTTTCTTTCTTAGCCTGCGCTTCCAAAGCTTCCGGGCTGTTTTGCGACATGTTCTTATCGATTCGTTAACTGATCAAAAACGGAAAAAACTGAACGTGTTCCTGCATAGTGGAGTGGCTGTTTTGAGGATTTGCTTTCAACATCGAGCCTAGTGTTTCCGATGAATTATTTACGAGGTACCTGCTAGTTTTGGAGCGTTTTTATGCGAAATAACAGAATGGCAAGTCAAATAACAGAAATTTGGCTTCGAGTACCGCAAAACAGTCTATTGCGGCTAACTCATTTTTGTTAAGGTAAACTATCTAAAATTATCAATACTAAATGTTCACAGTTATTTACATCGTTTTAACTGAGGCTAAAAACATATCTTGTGCTGAAAGCCTTACAAATTTGTATGTTAAAGAAGGTATTTGTTAAACCCGTCTTTGACATCAGTATTTTCCTTAGTATGTCAAGTTGAAGAGCTAATGACCGCGGTTTCCGTAGGAGCGCAAATTTCTTGGAAAAGAAGTATTTTTCTGGATCTATTCAGTAATGTCAAAATTTACACAATTAAATGATATCGTTTGCCATATTTGGGCGGATGTCATAGTTACAAGATTGTATTACTGAAAGTAACTCTTGTAATCCTACACTCAAAATCAAACCATATTTGTCAGAAAGGTTCAGCAATCTTGGGAGCAAGATCTGCAAATATTAAGCTAACTATAGCAGTCGGAAAATCGACTTCTTTCGATTTTAAATAGTCAACAAATAGTAAAAATTTCTGAATGTATTTTGTTTCTGTTTCAGACCTCACTGAGACGAGAGAGTGAGAAAGTTAAGTTTGAACCTTTACAGGCCAAAATGACCTAACTTACATGTAAAATCTGATACTCCCTGAAGTGGCCTCCATGTTCGCAAACGAAAGCTTACAGAAAAATTTGGTACATTCGGTCCACAGGCAAACCTGCTCCCTCTCACCAGGAAATAGTTTTAAGTTGGCTGCGCATTTTATCTGGTTTAAGATAAATCTGGGGAAAATGACAATTTTTGGGCGACTTAGGGGTCTTTGAAACTCAGAAAGATGTGGGTTGCACCACGTGAATAGTGAAAAGAATTAACGAAGCTCCTTCGTTAGCCACGTGAAGTACAGTCTCGCGTGTTTACGTTAATTCCCGCAGCCTAGAAATTGAAAACCTACCGACTCATTAAGGCTGTTCTTACCTATTTGCCGGAATACGTATTGATTTTGCTAAGATAACTTGGATCTTAAGCCGCATCTACGCATTGTGCAGACGAGGAAAACCTTTCAATTTTAAGTGGCAGATATATTTGCCGAGAAGCTTACGGGTTTGCTTCTTCAATGCCGAGAAACAAATAAACTTTCACACGGTACAGAGCAAATGAACATGCCAAAAAAAGATGACGCACATGTAAAAATATATTACAATGCATACTCAAACAGGAATTTATAAAGCTGAGGGAAAAAAAAAACACTTCCAAAATATTTCATCTAAACTTTTCACTCCTAAATCGAGCGCGCTATGAACTAGGCAAAAACTCTAGACTACTAAATGTAAATCTCTCTTTTCCCTTCTTTAAGCTGTTCTGTTTGGAAACGAAATTATTTTGCCAAAATTGTATACCTTTACAGCAAATTCAGCTCTTATTTAAACACAGTTAAGTACAGTCTGTACGTTATGTATTTATATATGCAGTAACTTTTGCATATGCTTCTGAGTGCAAATATTTTTAATGGAAAGATAAAAAAAGAGCTCAGCGCCTTTTCTATGCTAATAGCTTGTTGTGTTTCGGTAATTTTTGTAAAAAAGTGATAGACAGTGACTATTCGCCTGTTAATGTACAGATTAAAAAATATTATTCCTCGTGAATGTGCTAACCAAGAACCGAAATCAGGTTTCAGTTGTCAAGTTATATATTTCAGTATGTTCCTCGAAACTTCGATCTCTCGGCTGGTGCCGGAAAGCATTCATTCCTTTGGGATTAGTTTTGTTGTATTTTGTCTCCTTGTTTTGTCTTTTGTTTTGCTTGTTTTACGTCATCTGCGCTCCGGTACCTGGAGAGAGATGCCTAAACTCACTCAATCTAAGATACGTGCGTAGGTTACAACTTTCTGTAAAACACATTCGCTCCAGCCCTTGTCTAAGGAGATTTTCTGTATTATTTTCAGTTGAACGAAAGTTTTAAACTTTGGTTAGCGATATACAGTAACAAAACATCGCAGACCATGACTTTTCTACCCCTTTATTGCCATTCCTTATCAAGCAATATGATCAAATTTTTACACCTCGCTAAAAGCAGCATGGTGACTAGCTGCCACAGGGGCGTTTTGGCTAATAGTTATTGGTGCATTACGATCCTCGTTATCATTCTGGCTGCTTTATTGTTCCCCCATTGGTTCAATAAGTATATCCTACTAGACGTTTTAGTGGAAGTATCAATGAGTATTTTTACGAGTTGCGCCACACACTACTACGCACTACACGACAGAACATCTAACAAGCTATTTATTGTTCAACTGCTTTATTTTATGTCCATTTCTTATGCGAAGCAGATAGAGAAGCGTGGCACATACAGCGAACCGATCGAACAGGTTTTCTTTACAGAACAAAATAACCAACTGTCCTATATCGCGTGATAGTTACATCCAATTCGTGCGTTATAAGTACTCTTGTGTGGGTAGGAGGAAAGCAGTATGGTTACAAAAGACTTTCACGGCCGGGTCACAAAAAATTACGGTGAAAGCAAGTGCTTTGAGTTAATCCCTATAAAACCATATATCAGTTTTAAAGCTTATAAAGTACAAAATTCGATAATTTAATCATTTCTTACTTTTCTGAAATGTGGAGATAATAATTTTGCAGAAAGGAAAAAACTACCCATGCGTCTTCAATCGCTTTATGCGCGCCTAAGTTTTTTTGTTTCGGTCGAAAGTCTTTGTGTAGTCAATCAGCAGATACTGCGCTGAGAAACTGTGTGGCCGATTATTGACTGACGTCTTTTTTCAAAGCTTTTCAATTTCGAGTATGTAATTTTTATTGCTGACCTTTGCACTCCTCATCACATCTCAATTTACAATCGAAATTCGGCACAAAATTTTTGTCTTTATTCATTGTTCTTATTCTGTGCCAATTTTCAAGAGAATCGCTTTGGTTTTGTACGTGAGGCCAGAATTCGAAAACGTTTGGCCCATTAAAATTGGTTCGAACATCAAAGCAGAGAAAAGCGCTTCCAAAGTTTCCTTAGACGATTTTCTCACTTAGATACAAAATTGATTTTGTCCTAAATTCTCGCCAGAAATAATTCTTTTTCTACTAAAGTGGTGAATGTCGACAGATTACTCTTAATCACTTAAGGCTATGCAAAAAAAAAAATCAATTTTAAAAAAATTTCGTCCCTGAAAGTATCTTGTATCCTTTTTTACATCATCAGGGTTCACAAAGAAAGGCAAGGAAAGGCAAAAAAAGGAAACGAACTGGAAACTATTCTAAAGAAATTAACCACTAACAGTTGATGCGGCTTTACAAAACATGATGACAATTCACCGTTACATGCACTAATTACTACTGCTCTCTAAGTATTCATCTCGAGAAGAAGTTACGGGATGATACATAATAGCTTTCTCAACCTAACGTTAAAGAAGAGCAAAAACGAAAATAAGTGTTAGAGAGATTCACATGACAATTTCCACACTCACCTTTAGAAATTTTTCTTCGCTTAGAAAACGTAAATGGTAACGAAGAGCTCTTTTGTGCGTCCTGTTTCTTAATTGTGTTGACTGTGGTTGACTACTTTCATTATGTGGAACTTTCGTTAATTAAATACTGCAAAACATTGTGAACTTCTTAACAAAAATATCTTCGTCCTTCCTAGTAGTTCCGGTCCTCCACGTAGGACAGGTGCAGTGCGCGTCACGTGACGCTAATAAACCATCATGCCACGCGTCTCGTGTCAGCAAGTGCATTGAATAATAATAATCTGTTCCTGTTGTCGTTGGTGTTACATTACCTTGAGCAATTTTCCAACACCAATACGGTAGAGGAAAAATTACAGAGAATTAAAATGGCAAGTACTCTGACAGAACGAGAAATTGACGAGTCTCGTGATGCTTTTAATCTGTTCGATACTGTTGGAGATGGAAAAATCGAGTCGTCGGCCATTGGATTAGCTTTGAGATCTGTTAACCTAAATCCTACCCAAGCTGAAGTCGACAAGGTGTTGAGAGAAATTGATCCAAGTGGTAAGAAGCGGATTTCTTTCGAAGAATTTTTACCTATCATGCAATCGTTTCGCTCACGGACGCACAAAGTTGGTTATGATGCTTTTGTCGACAGTTTGAAAGTGTTCGACACGGATAATAATGGCTGGATCTCTTCTGGCGAACTTCGTCATGTACTAACCGGCTTAGGGGAGAGGCTAAGCGATGAAGACGTGGATATGTTACTTCAGGGCTTTGAAGACAACCAGGGACTTATTAATTACGAGGATTTTGTCAAGAACGTTATGAACGGCTAGAAACAGAATTGTTAGAAATTGCCATTATAGACCGCGCATCGACCTGATGCAACACCACGTTTCAGTACTACTTTGTTTTTCTTCGTTCTAGATCATTAATGATTAGTTTTTGGAGGAGTTTGTTATGATAGAAAAACTGAGAGAACTGCAAAGGTTTTTTCGGCTGTGGTTGGACTTTTCAATTTTTCCTTTAGTGGCACAATGGTACATCCTGTTTCGACGTAGCTTATCAGCGAGTGTCAAGTACGTATTCATATGAATTGTAGTCTACGAGCGAATGACAATACCAACGAAAGTTTCATCTGTTAGTGAAAATGTGCACTGCAAAAGTTGTCTTTCAAATAAGGAACAAAAAACATTCCAAGTTGTAGAAGAAATTAGATATTTAAGCTGTTTAGATCGCTCAGGTTTTTCTCTATTGTGCTGAAATGCGTGGCAGAATATTCCTTCTTGCTTTGTTCACGCTTCAGCGAATATCATTCAGTCGATTTTTGAACCAAGCATGATTTACATTTTTCTCAGTTATGGGCAACAATGAAAATAAAATCTCTGTTGACAAATGCCACTGAGTGTGTACTTGCAGAAGTATGATTTTCCAAGGTTGACTTCAGTAATCGCTTTCCAGTTTCAAGGTTTGAATGCAAATGAGATTTAATGAAATTCAATTTCTCCCGGGAAAGCATTTGTTAAAAGCAGCATTGTTTTGACAGTTTATCTTACCTGTGTGTACAAATTTGCATAAACAAGTTATTCCCAAAGTATGTTTTTAAATAAGTCTTTTTATTTGGGATGAAATGCGGAAAGTATTCAGTTCAAAGACGTCGCTGCTGATCGAACGTTCTGGGGTGAAATTAATGATAATAAAGATGGTAACAATGATAATATCTTTCGGGAGTACATCAGGAAAACTCCTTGGGCAGCAAGATCTACTTATTACGACTTACAAAGATGGGGAAAAAATGACAATTTCATACGTACAGTCAATTGTTTTGTTGTTGTGAAAACTGATATCAACAACCACAAAAAACCAAACAGAAAATGAAACAAAAGGACAAAACAAGAAAAAAAGAAAGGAAAAAAATAAAAATAAGCAGCATTCAGGGAAAAGGGCCGCAGACATTGCTGAGTGGTGGGCATGCTTGCTTTTCCTTTGGCGCACCTACCAGTCGTTTCGCACCCACGGTCGTTTCGCACTCGGTCGATTTGTATCTAGATAGGACCATTCGTACCAAGTCAGTTTAGTGGTTTCGTACCTATACTAATAGGGTATGTTTCCTATGTCTAAAGCAATCGTTTCGTACCTGGGTTTTGATCGTTACTTGGTTTTGGTACGTGTACAAATCGCATCAAACTAGGCACGAACGTCTGAATTTTGGTAGTGGATACCTGTGGCGCGGGTGCGTTTCTAAGTTCTTGTTTACTTTTCTTCCTTTTTCTGTGTGTCTTCTACATAGAAGCAAAACTCCTAATTTGCATTTAACGTTAAAAAAGTCATGTAGAAACCATTATCATAGATAATCTCTATAAACCCGATTCACTGTGACACAAGCGTTCGGAAGCAGGCACTGGTTTCATATTCGGAGTTGATCGTCTTCAGGTACGTCGCCGTCGTAGCTCTAACGCACAATGATGATGTGCAGAACAGATTCGACGAACGTTTTCGGGAGAAGAACAAAAGTGCACGCGACAATCTTGAGAGGTAATTTGGGCGTCCGTTAATCAATAAATTTTCAAACAAGTAAAATGAATACATACATTCCTCGAACCCGCGATGACCCGTCTTTACAATGATGTTTTCTAAGGCTTCCTTGAAGTCCTAAGACCTGAAAACTACCCTCAATGACTTTCGGTGTTGTCGCGTGCACTTTTACGCTTTTGTACCACAACCTTTCTCCTTTCTTGGGAATTCAATTGAAGGAAAATGTTATTCGGCGAATGAAACTCGGAAAGAAAAAAACTCCGAGTGCTAATAAGATTCGAGCTTACGATCTTTCAATTACTACTTCAGATGCTCTTCGACTGAGCTATAGGAGACTCGTGGCAAGTTAGGCCGTTTAACTTTAGGTCCATGATAACAAACTTTCTGCATACTTAGAGCACAGGAATGTCGATATGTGATGCTTATGTGCAATGCTGATATATATGAAGATGGTTAATTTTAAGTATGATCATTTAAGTGAAAGAAGATGCTATTCACTGAATAACACCGATATTCTCGAAGAAAAATAGGGTAATGTCCGCGTGCTTCCAATGAGATTCGAACCTACGTGTCGATATACTTGATGCTTATGCGCAATGATGCGAGGGTAGAAGTGTCGATACTTGATGCTAATGAGCAGTGTTGATGTCAATCAATTTGACAAATTTGAAGTCTGGTGATTTAAGTAAAGGAAGATGTTATTCAATGAATGCCACAGGCATACTCCGAGAAAATAAGGTCTCCTTCTGCTCAATAGGAGTCGAACCTACGACGTTTCGAATGGTAATTCAGACGCTCTACCACTGACTTATAAGAGACTCGTGGTAAGCCAGGCCGTTTAATTAGGTCCATAGAGATTAATATTGCGAGGGTAGAAGTGTCGATACTTGATGCTTGTGCGCAATGATGATGTAAATCAATTTGATGAATTTTAAGCCTGGTAATTTAAGTGAAGGAAGATGTTATTCATTGAATGACACAGGCATGCTCGGAGATAAAAGGGTAATATTTCCGCACAGCCCCATACTACATTACGAATTCAGTTCTTGGATAGACAAAACAACCATAAAAACAATACATGGAAATGAGATGGTAGATAACCAACGAGGTGCGGAGCAACGAGTTGGCTATAACCAATCTCGTATCAAACAAGTGCGAATAGAATAATTGTCTTATTAGTTTACATTACATTCTGAGTGTTTGGATATTTGGAGCTTTTTTGAAGCTGCGCAACAGTTGGCGCAATACATTTCCATGTAAGGTGACTCGAAATATGAGCGAATAACGGGAGCTGAGTGAACCAATCAAAACACTAGAGATGCATTGTTCGGAGTTGAACATTTTATCATTCTTATACCATCTGATTACCTTTTGATATCATTGGTGAAAAATTGTGCTCGCATTCTGGTCGCATTTGAAAATAAAACAATCCCCAACCGGGTTCTAAACACTGATGAAGAAGTATTGCTCAATTCATCTGTTAAATGGCGCCAAAGATTTCCATTAACAAAAAAAAAGGAAACAGATAGATGAATAAATTAAAAAATAGATAAAATTTAAAATGACCTCGATGACTATCAGTGACACAATCGCCGGTTCTGATCATGCGCCATTTTAAAACCGACCAACGAAGAAGAATTCTATGACCAGGCAGGCAATACTATTATGTGAACCGATGAAAATACATTGCAAACCGTACAGCACATTTTTGTGGCTGCTGCCTCCTATATTTTTAAGAAGTCCGAAGTTACATAACAAAACGCAGGTCGTATCGGATGGGGGTGGGTGTGCAACCTCAGTACCCCTCCCCTAGATCCGCCTCGGCCCAAACACAACCCTTTACAACCAATGTTCGATTTTCGATTTCATTGTTATTGCAAATATTTTATTTCCACTTTCTATCTCCTTGTATTACACTTGAATAAATGAGCTATTTATTAAATCAAAACCCGTCCAATACCCGAACATGAAAACGGACAACTAGTTCGAACTTGAAACCAAACTGATTCATGCTCAGAAATAAAGAAATTAAGGAAAGCTTAACGCAGTCTACAACTGGTTTAGAGAGGCGATTGAAATCAATGAACTAACGCGAAAAACTTTCCATGATTTTCGCCAAAATCATGTTAATTATGGTCGATTATTAACCGAAAGTTTTCGTGCTACCTTAAAAAAACTTAACGAAATAATTTTTTTTAAAGATAAAATAAGGTCGACCACATACAAGACTATCCAGACGTTCTACAAAAGAATTACGCCAAATGAAGTCAACAACTAGTGCTTCTTGGAGTCGAAATTGTTTTTGAGCTTATCTGCGTGTATTGTAGCCGTGCACTTGAATAAAATGCTTACACTAAGGTAAGAGTCGCTTGCACCTTGTCTTCTGTTCAACGACAGAAATTTCTGAAGATTCCTAGATAACTATTTTTGGTGACGCAATTGGTTTCTTTGTGGCCAGCTGCTAGAATGAAACATTTCAGATCAAGAAACGAAATTCCACGAATCGGGAAAAAGACTCTAATTAAACTAATTGTTTTCGATCCTTGTAGAACGCCGATTAGCAAAAGGATTTCGAATCACGTTGTTAATGGTACAGTTTATAAGAAGATTACTTTACTTCGATAGAAAATACGTTAAAAGCCAGTTGTGTTTGTGATCCTTATTGCTGTATGCATACAATGTTCTTCTAAAATGCGCTGTTCTGACACAATAAGCATACAGTAAGCAATTGTTGTAATTAATTATTAATTTCCTACATCGAGGACTGACTCTTTGTTATTGTCTCTGTATTTGGGTAAATGGATGCATTTGTTCCGAGATTGTGATTTTATTGTTAAATGAATACCCCCAGGGCATAAGCCAATGGTCATTCGTCGGCTAACAGTAATAATCATTCGAATTTACATTGTGGTACCAAACGAACAAAACTTCTACGCGATGAGTATTAGCCATAAGTACCTTGAAACCAAAACAAACTTCCCTCCTTATCGGGAATTTTTGGAACACCAATTGAAGAAGACTTAACTTTACATTTTAGTGAGGCTATCAAAATAACGTGGTTTCAAATGTCGCAAAGGAAGTGCAAAGTAACCAGTGTAGCCAACGATGACGAAAAATCGGAAGCAAAGCAAACTTCTGACGCTGAAGAAGGAAGACAAGCTATTCGCCGGGCAAACCAGCACCAAAAGCTCATAATATCAGTACTTATATTTACGATCATAGCGTGGCTGGTGGGTAAGACTGATATTAGCATATTTTGGATTTTTACACTGCTCGTATGGATCTTGTTTTGGTGGAATAACACCGCTACACATGTAATAGACAGTGCTGTCAAAGAAGCAGAAATTGATAGGAGGCGACAAAAAGCATTGTCGAATGGAGAAACGGCAGAATGGCTGAATTTTCTGATTAATCGATGGTAAGTGTGAGAGATCATTGTATCCTGTTATGAGCTGTAAACAAACCCGATAGGTTTCTTGTAAAGTACCGAAGTTAAGTTGTGTTTCGATGCTGAGCGAATGCACTTAACACTGTTCCCAGCGTAAACAAAAGTTCGGTGACTGTTCCTTATAAATTCTTAAGAGAACAAGTTTAAAATATTTTGGTATCTTTGTAACCTTTCTGGGAAAAAAAAAAAGGATGAAGGGCTTTTACTGCCTTTTGGAAACGAATCTGTATGAATTCCTTGGTGCCCGCTGAGAGAATAAGATACCCCATGATTCTTACATAAAGTAATCGCCGAAATGGATGGGAAAAATTGCCCTAGTATTTGTCATAAACTTTAAATTTTCTGTTATCAGAGATGTCTATCCCGATAAAGTTCAATAAAATGAAAAGTATGCATCCAATTGAATTCAATTGAAATGTTTTGCATAAATAGCGTCCTCAAACTTAAATGAGGCGATTTCTCTTAAACTTTCTTCCAATTGTTCTCTCCTGTCGTCTGGTCGGTGGAATATAATCACCTCTCTTCGAGAAGGCAAAAACAATATTCTTCACATGATACATTCTATAGCGACATCACTTATAAATAAAAACATAGGAAAATCAAAATTATTTCTTCGCGGAATATGCGGGAACACTATCAGAAACAACACTTCTTTATGGTAACACTTGACTTTCTATAAAAGTTATTGATCGATTTAAGTTCAAGCTTAATTCACATCTTAGTTAGGAATTTTTCAAAATCCTATCCTAAACAGAGAAATTTACCTCAACATATACAGTTTGATCCATTTCAGATACTAATCACGCGCAAGCCTTTAATATTTTATGGCAATTTAATAGAATTTCGCTCAATCTCGACCGCACAATTTAGTCTTAGACTAATCACAAATTTTCGATCAGACTGATATTACATAGGGCTACCTTTGTTTCTTATGGCATAATTAAAACCATCAGATTCATAAAACTTTTCTCTGTTATTTCCTTGGTATTGAGTTATTCCAATTACTTCTTTTCGAAGAAAAATTAGACCATAATTCAAGAGGTGTTGAAGTGTTCAAAAAAAAATTATCAATATTTACACGGCAATTTTCATACAGGGGCTGAAACCATGAATAATTTTTTCCCTCATGACGAGTCTGCTTTCTTGTTCAAATACTGATGGATCATTTAGACTTTTAAAAATGAAGGAAGAGGACCAAAATACTTTCATGAGGAGTTGAAGACTTGAGGAAATACTTGTAGTTTACGGGGGAAAAAAGTATTTGCACCTCAGACAGGTAATTAAAATTTTTGACACTGCGAGTTAGTTCGAAATTATTGTCGTTTGAAATTCTAAACTTTAAATAAGAGTAAATTAATTAATCTGCATTTGAGTTTAATGGCCAAAGGCCGCTAAAACCTGATCCAAAAAGTCCATCTAATGAATCGGTACTGTTATGTTTTTACTCAAACAGTCGTATAGTTTTGTTTTTTATCTGTCATATTTTCCTCGGCGCACAAGTTTTGTTATAGATAGATTTTTTATAGATAGATTAGTTATAGCCAGTCAGAATCCAGCTGTGAACGCGTCGAAATTGATAGCTCTTAATCACGATGACGGTATTTACAGTACGTTCACCAGCAAGCTTCGTTTGATCTAAATTTTCATGAATCTTTGCCACTTTCTAGTTGTTTTCATGTGGGTGTTCTCTTGATTTCAATGCTCATGGATCACGTTCCTTTTAAATTCACCATTCCGCACCTTGAGAGCGAGGCTTGCTATGAAATATGGTATTGCGACTTAATCATCCATGAGGCCTTTTAAAGCCATTTTGTAATGCTACACTAAGGTTCGTTACCGAGTATCACTCTAAGAATGAACGGCGCGCCCACACTAGCAAAGTGGAGGCTTTTTCTTTATGATCGGAACTCGTCAGTAGTAATTTTTTTTCTGAATACAGGTTGAATGATCTATTACTTTTCCCAGTTTCATGGGCTGCTAGATTCTCGCCGGTTTGGCTCATCGGTAAACCGAGTAGCTTTGCGCTGTTACTGTCTACTTGCTGACTTTGTACGCCAGCGAAATGCCGGCGAAATTCGGCACACCGGACTAAAGACTACTTTCAATACACTGCTCATCGAAACATACCGATCGTGAGTGCAGCTGCCTTTTCAAAATATCCTTAAAATATATTCAAATCGGTAGTGTTTTCTTACAGGTTTGTTTTCAGCGACAGATCATTACTGAGCTCCATCAAAAGAAACCTGGAGCCGATCCTTAAGGCCCAGAAGCCATCCTACGTAGGTAAGAGTCCAATGCTCCTATGAAGCTACGCAGAGAGTATATGGTTGTGAGAACGCCCACCTCTTAACTTATCGCCGAGGCCTGGGTTCGATTCCCTCATATGACGTAATTTGCGGATTGAGATTAATGTTAATTCGTGTCTTTAATCCAAGTGCTTTTCTTCCCGTTCTACCGTTTTCATGCCTCCACAAAAACCTGGACCAGTAGGCAAAATATAAAGGAAAATATAAAAAATATAGACAACAGGGCAAAATATAAAATTAACATTCACGGGACTAATGAGGAATTTTTTACTTCAGATAACGCACAGTTTCATTTTGGTATCGTTGCGAGTCTCTTCAGGTTATTTTAAGTCCATTTTGCAATGCTTCATGAAACCGTTTAAGAGCATGGATCAACTGGTTCAAAAAGAATCGAAATCAGGGCACTTTCCAGTTAGAAAAGAAAAGGAAAACGGCCAAGTTTCGGAGTGGGAATTACGATGGAACGGCCTTTTCTTCTAAAAGGTTTTGAGTTAAAAAGAATACACTCACAGTTATTCTTCTCTTCTTTCTTTTACTAGAATCGCTTGAGAATCATTGAAAATGTTACAAAGTATTCAGAGTCTTTCTAGCCAAGAGTTTTTTCGCATTTTTCGAGACCCAGACAGATTCAGGATAAACACAACTCTGCTTAAGGAGCACACTTTTCCTCTTTCATTTTGTTTTCGGGAAAAATTATACTTTCCCATTCCTTAGGAGAGTCTCTTCGATATTCTATCACAAATGGAAAGCAACCCAAGGTTTCTTATTTTTCGTCTTATGTTTGTTTTTCACAACCTCATATAACCTCCTCTACTCATTTTGATTTAGGTTCCATAGAGATTCTGGATTTCACCCTGGGCAATAGAACACCTTACTTCAAATACGTCACATCTTATGATAACTATGACGATCAACGGAATATAAAAGCTACCGAGTTAAACTTTAATCATCCACCTGATGATCTGATGACTAGAGGCAAATACCAGGCAGTCATTCAGCTGGAAGCCGGTCTGACCTCTCCAGAAGCAAGATTCGTCATAAGAATCAGACTTGGTAACAAGGGGTAGGAGCAATTGTGTTATTCATATAAGAAAAAGAAAAAACCGCTCACTTTTCTCTTTACAGTCCTCATAAAATTATCAAAATTTTTCCACCCAATTGCATATTCCAACAACAATTTTTTATTTGAATGAATTTATCATGAAAAGAAGATAGTTTTAGGCGGCCAGGATTGACTCCATGATTTGGGATGCTGTAATGAGACTGTTAAAAATGAAAGAGTCAAACCACAAGCCAAAAAAAAAAAAGAAAGCGACCAAAAAAAATTAAGTTACAATCAAATTCTGTGATTTATTGGTGCAGAAGCCTTCTTAGTATCGTTAACGTTACCCATAGAAAATCAAAAATAGAAAAAAAAAAACAGAGGTGTAGCACTTTTAATTTGGCGCGCCCTTGTCGTGCAGAAATTTTTGTTTCTTTTTTGTCTCATTCTGACAGGATGAATGGAGGGGAAGTTGATATGATCGGTTTGTTAAAGATGATTGGGATTCTATGAAACCTTTTGCTCGGCTGAATCTAAAAACCTTATTTTAACCTACAGTATAACAAAGAAGTTTGCAGGCTTTTGCATACAGTTATTGACACTAGCCACGGTACCCCTTATATGCTAATACTTATGAGTAGGGATGAGGATAAATTGACTCGTGACAAATAGTGCCACACTTTAAAGTTTGTCGGAATACGCTCAAAGCCACTTAATTTACCATGCTCCGGTAAGACTGAGCTCAGACGAGCATACTACAGATTGGAAGAATCGCTCGCGTCATCTAAACCTAGAGTGTTCTGGGCAAACAATTGAACCTGTTTGTCTTGCAGGTTTCTTGGCGCCTGTACTGATGTAGCAGTAGAAGATCTTCACATTCACGGCAAACTGCAGCTGGTGTTGCTGTTTAATCAAAATATTCCCTTTCCTCATCTGGCAGCTGTAACATTATTCTTCACCGAAGAGTAAGATGTGTTTAGTGTTTTAGATATACGCTAGAGTAGGCAGTAAACTCAAAACAATGCCCCCGTTCAAAATGATCACTAACCTCATTTTCCTTAAAATCCATATATCAATCAATTGATATTATAAGAATTTTTTTTGTTTTGATTTGCCTGTTTCAGACCAGACGTATCTTTCAACATTCGTCTCCTGAAGGCTGTACAACTAATGGAGTTTCCCCTCCTCAGACAATGGATCACACAAATGGTCAACGATTACCTAAAACTAGGTGAAGATACTTTTCTTTTGTCATACCCACTCAAGAGAGAAGGGTCTTTTCTTGATAAAATTAAGTATTCCTTTTAGCCCAAACGTGGTTAAGACCAACAGCAATTTGCACAGGCTCAGGCTCTATATCTCAAGTCGACAAGAGACTCACATCGTCTCATCCTGTCTTTCCCAAAGGCCTCATTTCAAAGTAAAACCTTTCAGTTAATTTTTAGACTCAAGGCCTCTGGATGTTTTTCTGGGAAACGTTCATCTTGAGAAAGATTACAGTGTAACTTGGCCCTTCACACTCTAACATCAGTCTGCATGTTCTTAATAGCGTGCTCCATACTTAATAGTGTACTCCAAGTTGGATCTTGTCCCAACAGGCAAATCAGCGATAATAGTGCAGGGGATCAAACAGGTTTGACCGTTTGCATATAATTCAAAAGGAAGAGTAAGACTGAAAGATTTACAATGACACGTGTTCCTACCTGCAGCTTTGGTAGATCCTGGCCACATAACAATTCCATTTTGCGACGATCCTGAGGTTGTCGGAAGAGGAGCAGCATATGGTGAGTGGATCCACCAAAAATTATTATTGTGACTACGACTCATGCTGTTGTCAAACAATGGTTTCTTTTCTCCCGGGTTTCTCAAGAGGAAAGCACGTGTAATATAAGAAAACAAGAAAAGAATCCAAAATGGCACTCAGAAAAGTTTCAAAATACCTTCAGTTCTCTATTAATTAAACTTAATCCTTACATTCCTTAATATCTGTTTAATCTGAAGCATGCGGTGTTCTTACTTTGACAATCAGCGGAGGATCTCATGGAAAACTAACAGGTAAAGCATGATTTATTTTGCTTATAACAGAGATTTGAGGGCTAATTTTAGGCGTTGATGCAGAGTCACCTCATGATGACCTTGGTAAGCCTGAAGGTTTGAGCCTAAACCCAGAAGAACTTGTGCTTTGTGCTTTCTTTGTGATGCTATCTGTATATGGCTTTAAGTTCTAGTCTTGTCGGATGAGGACAATAAATCGAGGCCTTGTCTCCTTTCCCTTACTCCACATCAGAGGTCATATCTTTTTCTTTCTCAAAAGAGCTTACACATAGGATTCTAGCCATAACGAATTATGTCACATTTTCGCACCTTACCTATAAGTAATTCTTGTCTGTCGTAGATGATCCTTACTGGTGCTCTGTTAAGATTGATGGTCAAAAGCGATACACCAAGGAAGTGACGGGAGAAAATCAATGGAGTACTAACGTATCATTGTTGGTGTATAATCTGCATGCTGACAAGGTAAATATCTACCGATATTCAACAAATCGTCTTAAGATTATGACTGACTATGAACTGACCTCTCATGTTCACTTAAATGAGCTGTGCATAAATTGTTGAAGAAAAAAAAATCTCATAGTTAGGGACCGATACATAACAAATTTCAAACAAATGTCCGCTACTTGACTTATCCTGATTTAAGTGTGACTATGATATCTGAAGCTTGAACATCTGTTGCGTGTGTTTATCTATTTTGCAAGTATCTTAGATGCGCGGGTTGGAGTCCCGTGGAAACTTGAATTGTTTCAAGCTTCTTTTCTGCAATTGTGTAAATTTAAGTTCACCTGCGAGGATCATTTTTTTGCTTGATTTTCATTCTCAGATCAAATTAAGTTTATTTGACGAAAAAAATGTAATCTCTTTTCAGTTGGTAATCAAAGTGAAAGGACGAAGAAAGCTCGGCACCAAGTACACTGTGGTTGAATATGTCCTGTTCCTTTCAAAGTTTTGTTTGGAGAGCAATCCTCAGCAGTAAGCTATAACTGTATCATAATCCAATGAATTAATTTGAATAATTGTACTGAGAAACATATCTCCTCACACAAAAGTCCTATCCAACTTTCCTTGTGAATGACATCATGTTACCCGCTAAAAGTTGTCTTGATAAAATTTGGTTGGTAACCTTTGAAATTTTCTTTTCATAAGATGGTTGTGAATTAAGAGTTGCTTAGTTGTCGCAGTAGTTGTCGACGATGTTTTAAATCTGAAACAGCGTGCAAAGGTATGCACACACCTTAAATGAGGTTTCTTAATGCTTTACAAACCTACAGTTTGGTGGTGCAACCAATAACTTGCGGCTGCCTCATCGTCGTAAACATTTTCTTAATTCTTAATCAGTCTGTGTTGTTTATATTAGTGATCAAGTGCTCGAAAAGTCGTCTTTAAAACCGGCTACCCTAACAGTGCAGATGGAGTACACACCTCTTCCAGTGATTGACGTGTGCCACTCATTAACCTCTGAGGACTTTGGCAGAATCTATTTGAGCAGACTACGAAATCTCCACCCGAATGAAGGTAAATATGTAACTCTTTTTAAATTTTAACATTCACACTGAGCCGAGTATTGCGATCTCTTTGGTGCAGTTTCTAAGCGTTTCTTGAACCGCCTTGAAACATTTGGTAGTGACTACAGGGAAATTAAGAAGAGCGTTTGAAAAAAAGGCAGAAACGAGTTCTGATTTAGCCAACTTTTCCTACAACTCACCAATCTATCCCCCAGTAATAATTTACAAAAATTTCTCTTTTTTTTTTTTCAATTAATAACAATTCTTCATAAGCGCATAAAAAACTTAAAGTAAACAGTTTCAAGACCAATTTTTTCTGCCTCCCGTTTGCGAGAAGCATCATGCTTCAATTTTCCGACATCTAGTCTGTTTTTCTCCACTTCAGTTTCAGGAGTTCTACTCGTCTGTGTTCACAGCGGTCAAGGCCTGGTTCCCATGGACAAACATGGACGCAGTGATTCGTATTGTGTAATTTATGAAAACGGAAGACAGGTAACGCACCCAAGCATAAATAAATTTTTTCTTCAATTCCCTGCCCTCAAAGAAGTTGAACAATTATGAAATCAAATTTGTTATTCCTCAAAAATGTTCCCTCAAGATCTCTAGATGAATGTTTCGATCTCAACACTTTTTCGTATCGTACGAAGCCTAGCACCTGAAGCTGTGGTACTCTGAGATTCTGCTTTCTGCCAAAATTCCATATGAATGAATTTTTTTTTTGGTAGGGGTTGGGGAATGACAAAATGAACAGGAATACAGGAATGGCGGTGTTGTCACGCAACATGCAATAGTAGAGGGTTTTTTTAATTTCTTTATTTCAGGCCAAGCGCGGGGAGGCCGTGAAAGGGACCCTGAGTCCTGTTTGGGACACTATGGTTGAAATACTTGTTGCTGACTTTACACAGGTTTGTTATAGAAAATAACCGTTATTATAGATATAGCATCGTAGATAATGAAGCATATCCCGGCCATCTGAGTTGGCGGAGATGGCTTATCTTTTCTCGTTCGGGATTGCCTGCTATGTTCTCGCGAAAACGAAATGATCTGGCGCAATATTTTAACCATAAAATAAATCCGTTAACGACCTGATTTTTCAGTCAGATACGATGGCTGGACATTGGTGTCCTCTGTATTTTATGATAATTGACCTTGTTTAAATTTAAAAAAATAACTAAGCCAATTTTCATTAATTTTCCATAGGCGAGGGCCATAAAATTAATTGTTGTAACGATCATATCCCACAGGTTTACCATAAGAGAGAAGCTAAAGCTAAAACTTTAAAATGCCATGCTAGCGAGACGTTACAAGGCCGAACCAGATGTACCCGGCTGCTAACTTTTAGCTCACTTTTCCCCTCTTCTATTAGCATGAAAGACCCAATATCGCTGTCATTGACGTCTTAATATGTGCTGTGTAGCATATCATACCATTGAACGCCATTTAAAGAGTATTTC